GGAGAGCAAGCAGGAAGATCACTTGGAAAGTTCTACCACTGGTACAAGCAATGGTGCTTTGGACCAATAGGATAGCAGGAACGGTGATGGGAAGCATTTTGAAAGTAGACTAGACTTGAATTGCTGATGGACTGAGGGATGGTCTTGGTCTAAGCACATAGATGGATAGAGTTTCTCTTTATGGATGGAGATGGAAAAGCTGTGAAAGGAGCAGGTAATATTTTTAGAGGAGAGACAGAAACTCATCTTTAGACCTTAGATTTGAGATGCTTTTTAGACAACTCTGAGGAGATGTCAGGTGGTCAGATAATTCTTTTCGTGTGATGTTTCCAAGGAGGTACATGAGGAAGTTATATGAATTTGGTAGTAATCAGCACATGGGAGGATTTAATGTCATGAGACTGGAGAACATCAAAGAAGTGAATGCAGATAGAACACTGTAAGGACAGGACCTTGAAGTCTTTCCATGTGAACATATCAGTGAGACAGGTAGGACAAACATGGGAGAGAACAGTGTCCTGGTAAGCAGATGAAGAGAGAAGGGAGCCATCAACAGTGTTGAATGTTTTTGAAATAGATTTACCAATGAATGGTCTCTGATGACCTTAATAAGAGTGATTTGATTGAATCTCCTTCTGGAGGGTTCATGAGTGAATAAGAAGACAAAAATTGGAGATACCAGCTTATTCCACTTGTTTGAAGTATTTCCCTGGAACGAAAAGAAGAAACTAGGCTAGTAACTGACCGATAAGTGGATGAAGAGAGATTTTTTTTAAAGGATAGGAGACAAAAGCACCGCATTTCTGTACTGATGGAAAAATTCAGTAGAAAGGGAAAATTGGATGATATTGGAGGGAGAACAAGTAGTGGAGTGATGTCGTTGAGCAGGTGAAAGGGGAAGAGAGCTGGTGCTTAAGAGGAAGGGATGGCCTTGCCTCAAGCCCTGACAGCTTGTGCATGTAACAGAGAAGGCTGTGTATCCCAGGTGTGGATAGGGAGACAGCAGGGTTTGTGAGTTTTCTTTACACTCATTTCCATTTTTCAGAGACTGTATAATTCTGTAAGTTGTAAAGGTTATTGTCTTCCATATTTGAGATTCTCTCTGCAGGCTGTAGGGCTGATGCATCTGTATTTTGATTGTGGAACTCCTGCCTTTGGAGACCAAGATGATTGGCTCTATTTTTCTGAGGTCCTTAAATGTTGTTAAATTATCTAAGTTTCTGTCCCCAATTAATATATACCAAGTGTCCGCACTCTATGACTGAAATGGATTGACTAACGGATATAGAAACACAGCAAATGGATGTACATACCAGATGCAGTGTATGTGAAAGAAGAGGGCCTGAGGAAAGACATTTAGAAGAAAAATAGGGGGGGCAAAGCATTAACGGCACAAAGAAATGTGGTATTATCTGTTGAAGATATTTTATAGTTTTATCAACTGGACTAGGGAGAAATGTTCACCTGTTGAAATACTCATTTTGTAAGTTAAATAATGTGATTAAATGTATAAATGAAAATGAAACAAAAAAATGTTAAAAAATGATCTAAGTTTCCTTGAACTTACATGGTTCTGTTGTCTGAATAAATAGCTTACAATGGAGATCCTGGTTAGAACCGCATCAGTTTCTCAGTTTCCTCTTCTCTCCATGGACAAACTCTTGATGGGGGCATGTGGAATCTCCCCCTCACAGCACACACTCACACACACACACACACTCTCTCTCACACACACAACTTGCCACTCTGTCATAGATGGAATTAATGGTGCAAAGTGGGAAGGGCAGTCAAAGTGGATGAGGTTGCCACTATTCATCCCTCTCCCTCCTTCCTCCTCCTGCTTGTACATTACATGTGTGCATGCTCAATACGCAGCCACAGGTGAGGCATGAAAGGGTAGGCTGATGGTGCTTCTAGCTCCCTTTCTTTAAAAAAGTGTTGGCAGATAGGCAGCTGGAGGCTGAGAGCTGAGTGAAGGTTCTACAGCAGCAGGTATCTGGGATGTGATGTGCTGTCATTATTTGTCTCTCTCTCTCTCTCCCCTTATTTATGTCTCTTTCTCTTTGGGGGCAGGGACCATGTACTTTCCTGTATCTGTCCCAGAGACAGGCTCATAGCTGACATTCTCTGGGAATGTTTGAATGAATGAGTGAGTGAGAAGAAAAAGTATCCTGGAAATTTATGCAGCTTCTCTGCTGCTGTTATGAATTACTATGAGTATTTTGTTTATAAAATGTCAAGCTGTCATTTTTCTAAAGAGAAAATTGGTTTTGAAGCTATGATATCATCTCTATAATAGAGACAAGGGCAACAATAACCTGTAGAGTTACATTATGACTTTCTCTTACTCCTACAGGTAAAATACAAAGAAGACTATGAAAAGAATAAAGCAAAAGCAGATTATAATGTACTTCCTGCTTCAGAGAACCCGCTGCTCAGGCAGCTGAAGGCGGCAGGAAATGCCCTAAGTGATGTAAGTATATTCTCGTCAAAAAGCGTTTTCAAATCTTAGCTGCAAGAGGGATGAAAATGCCCTCCTTCTGTAATGCCTAAATATGCACATGTGTTTGTAAGTACTCTGAGGTACTGGAGCAGCGTTTTCACTGGAACCACCTAAACACAGGAAGCCATGATGCCTGAGTACACTGAGTCTCAACGTGCAGGCCTGGGGATTTAGTTCAAGTGGCAGGAAATCCTCATTGGCTTATAAGCTCTGGGTAGCTGGGCCTCCGTATGGGCAAAGAGCACACTGTAGAACACACCATAGATGTGCAGTGATTTTTTTTTTTTTTGGAGAGATTTCTGCTATCGGTGCATGCGCTCATTGGAGAGACAGAGACAGACACAGAAAGTGAGAAGTCACCCCCCTGGGGGATAGCCACGTCACAATCCCTTCTCTCCCATTCTCTCGGGATTTTTGGCATGCACACACAGGGTGTGAGTTTCGAGCCTCCAGATCCAGGACTGGAACCACCATCAGCCATGTGGGAGTCCAGCACCTTAACACTAAGGCTGAATTAAACCATTTGCTGGCCCCCAATATGCAGTGATTTTGACTGGAGCAGAAGAGACTGTCGAAGAAAGGTCTTTGCTCAGAAACCATTACTTGCAGATAACAGAACTAAAAGTTGGCTCCAAGGCTTTACTAGACTATCTACCTGTGAAATTGTTAAGAACCTAAGTCATTTGATTGAAAATAGATGAGATAGGTGAGACTGGGCCTGACATTAGAAGACTGACAGTTCTGGGGTCAGCAGGTGGCATAATGGTTAAGGTGCTGGACCCCCATGTGGCCAATCATGGTTCAAGTCCTGCATCTAGTGGCTTGAAACTGATCCTGGGAGCATGTGATGCATGCCCAAAATTGTGAGAGGAGAATGGAGAAGAAGAGATTGAGGTGGCCATCTTCCCAGGAGGGTGATTTCTCCCTTTCAGTCTCTCTGTCTCTCCAGGGAGCACACATGTCCTATAGCAAAAATCTCTCAAAAACAAAACAAAACAAAACAAAACAAAAAATAAATAAATAAACACCCTAAAGAACTGACAGTTCAAAGCCAATTTTGACTGTGTACATATGTAAATGTTAAGTGAGGGAGAGAGGGAGGAGGAGAAAGGGGGAAGCACAGAATATGTGATTATTTGAATTTTTCCCTTATAGTTGGGTTTGCATTAAGCTTGATAATTGAGGATTTTATGTAGCTCTCTGTATGGATTATTTATTTTTCTTTGCCCCTTGAATTAAGTCAGCACCATAGGAAATGTGTGCATGTGTTGGAGAGTAGGTGGGCTGAGGTGGCAGGTGAGAGGGTGTAAATGAAAAACAGAAGTGTTATAATCAGTGTGGGAGTGACAGGAATCTGCTTTAACTGATTTTTTTTCCTTTGGCAGAAACTGTACAAGGAAAACTATGAAAAGACAAAGGCAAAGAGCATAAATTACTGTGAGACCCCCAAATTTCAGCTTGATTCAGTCCTCCAGAACTTCAGCAGTGATGTAAGCAATCCTACCATCACTCCTTCTGCTAAAACGTTCCAAAACCAAAACATCATTTGGTCAATTAATAAATGAAATCTGTTTTGTCTTTCAGACTAAATATAAAGATTCCTACTTAAAGAATATTTTGGGACATTATGTAGGCAGTTTTGAGGATCCATATCATTCACACTGCATGAAAGTCACAGCTCAAAACAGTGATGTAAGTTCTAAAACAATTGTTTGACTTTCCAAATAACGCATTTTGGGGGCATAAATCCAATGGTCACATCCTTATGTGAGATTTTTTTTTTTCCCTCATAGAAAAACTACAAGGCAGAATACGAAGAGGACAGAGGCAAAGGCTTCTTCCCCCAGACCATAACTCAAGAATATGAAGCAATCAAGAAACTGGATCAATGTAAAGATGTAAGTCTACTGTGTGAACTTTGAATGTTACTGCCCTCCATAGCATCTAGTTGTCAAGATGTATTTAAAATTTTGCACTTTTATAAATAAGTATGAGGAAGGAAATTGTAAGAAACAAGCATCTGTTTCATAGCAGATGTATTATTGGGTCAAATGTGTCATGACTTTTCTGATGGCCCAGCGTTTTTCTCTGTTGGCATCTCATCATTTCAAGACCTAACCCTAGCTCTTTTTTTTTTTTTCAAAAAAAGAGTTATCAGGAATCTAAAGATACAGGGCAGTTTCTCATACAGATGTAAGAGCACCTCTCAAACTCCGGTCTAATCAGAAAAACAAATAAATGTTTTATTAACCACAGGTGTTTTTTCTTGTACTTTGGGGGGCTTGAGGGTTCTGCTTGCTTGGACATAGGCGACCGAGGCTACAGCAGGTGCTGTGGCTAAACCCACTGTTCTCCCTCGCAGCATACCTACAAAGTCCATCCAGACAAGACCAAATTCACGCAAGTTACTGACTCTCCTGTTCTGGTGCAAGCCCAAGTCAATTCCAAACAACTGAGTGATGTAAGTGCCTCTAAGTATCCAGGAAATCCAATTATGAGGGCTAGCATTTTATACTCTATGCACAAAGTCAAGTAGTTTGTCACATTTTTAAAAAGGCTATGTAAGTTTCAGCAACTTTAACTTGTAGATATTTGTGATCACCTAAAATATTTTCCTATTTGTTTGCTTTGTGTTTTCTTGGGCAGATAAAACTTATAGTGAAGTGATTCTGTGAACAAAACTCATGTAGTGTAAACCACTGGGAAGAATACATGTTTTAGAGACAAGCTATAGTCAGGTCCTGGCTCTGTCATTCATGAACAAGTGGTCAAACTATTTAACCTCTCTGTACTTTTTACTTTCCTTTCATAACTTGTGGCTGTCTTGAAGATTAGATGCAAGAAAATTTGTGTATAGTGTACTACTTGGCCCAAAACAAGTATTGAGTATGTGGATTTCCCTCTCCCAAAGAAGTTTCTGGGAAATGGGGTCTTTGAGACAAGTTTTATTAGATGAGCTTTAACTTGCATTAAACTTAAAAACTAAATAAAAGTCATCTCAGTAGATTTATGACTTCCGCTAGGATATCAATAACTGTGATATATGTGAGGGGACACATAAAGAAATGTGTTAGGAAAAACAAGGCTGTGTCTCTCTTAGAATCTACAGGACCAGGGACCAGCAGTTGGCATAATGGCTATGTTGCTGGACTCCCATGTGGCTGACCGCAGTTTGAGTCCTGGACCTGGTGGCTTAAACTCACACTGGGCATGTGTGCATGTGTGTCCAATATCCTGAGAGGAGAATGGAGGAGAAGGGATTGCAGTGTGGCCATCCCCCATGGGGGGTGATTTCTAGCTTTCTGTCTGTCTCTCTCTCTTTCTGGTGAATGCAAGTGCCCTATAGCCAAAAGCGCTCCAAAAAAAAAAAAAAAAAAAAAAATCAAAGGGCCCACGTGGAAAATGATGAAGGGGA